AAAAAAAAAAAAAAAAAAAAAAAAACTAAAGTCAACAACGTTAATAACAAAATTATTTGCCGACAATCTTTACGATAATATATATTATATAGAAAATAAAGATAAAAAATACGATAAGTATATATATATATATATATATGAAAGGAGGGGGTTAAAATAAATATTTTTCTATTTTATTTTCGTTCTTTCTACGTTCTTTCCTATCTAACTAAAGTAAAATTAAAATGCGAAAAAAGCAAAAGTTAATAGCACGAGACGTGCAACTAATAAAATGGTGATATCTGAAAAAAACAAACAAATTTTAATACAAATGAATAATAATATCAATGATACTTCAATGATATTTTCAAACGAGATCTCGTAAGAAAAGAAATTTTAATCGTATATGTAAAAAAAGGGGATGAATTTTGATATATATTAATATATATATATCAATTTTTTGTTTAATCATATTGCAAAATATGCATTCTCATGCATTGATCATATTGTGCATTTTAGTGTATATATATATATATATTAATTTTTTACTTATATTTCCTCGTGTTACGCGATATTTATTCGTGTTAGGATGATCAAAGAAGGAACTCTTTGGAATTTCCTATGAGAATAGACGAACGATACTGCAATTAGAAAATAACTATTACTACGGACGTTAAAGATAATTATTTAAAGAGTGAGAGAGATATATATATATAGAATAGAAAGAGGGAACAAAGAAATAATGGAATAAAATACGTCATTGGTATATAAAAAAAATCGTACGTAAGTTTATATATATATATATATATAAAATCGATCTATGAAATTAATATATTATTTTTTAATTCTCTTCTTTCTCTCTTTCTCTTTTTATCATATTTTTTTTTTTTTATTAACACATTCAAACAATAGAAATCCGATTAATTATTATTTCGAATTGGCCACCTCTTTTTTTCTTTCCTTTCCTCGGAATCAAATTTTTATCTCCGTCGGTAGAAACAAAAAAAAAAAGAAAAAAAAAGAAAAAAAAAAGGTAAATATGAGTCACGTTTCGATGCAACGAAAAAAGAAAAAAGAAAAAAAAAAACCATTCACGGATTATTCACAAAGATCTTTACGCGCGCGATCTTTTTGCTTTATCGCATCTTTTTTTTTTTTTTTTTTTTTTT